TTTGCTGTGCTGCTCCATTTCTATGTGTGCTGTGACACTGAATGTACACTCTAAGAGGCAGTGCTTTTCACAAAGGCAATGACTTATTTTTGATGCTGCTGTTCTGAACAACTACGCTTCTCCAAACTCAGTTATTTTTTTTCAATAGCTTCCTGTTCATTGTAAAAAATCCTCAGGTGCTCAGGCGTACACACAAACCTTAATATGTTTTCTATTCTGGGATAATTTATGTAGTCAAAGGCCTTTGTGGCTCAGGTAAAATAATTCTTTCTCATATTCTCTTTCTTTCTTTAGCATCCATCTTATAGTAGCTCATCATATTTAGTAAGTTCACGCTTGGAATATTGCATCAAGTTTTGGTCACCACATTATAAAAAAGTTGAGATTCTGGAAAGAGTGCAGAGAAGAGCAAGAAAAATGATTAAGGTCCTGGAGACTAAAATATATGAGGAATAGTTGCAGGAATGGGATATGTCTAGTTTAATGAGGGGAAAAACTAGGGGTGACATGATAGCTGTGTTCCCATATTTGAGAGGCTGCCACAAAGAAGGGGGTCAACCTATTTTCCAAAGCACCAGAAGACAAAACAATAAACAATGAATGGAAGGAGAGAAGGAATCAAGAGAGAAGCATCCTAGAACTAAGGAGAAATTTCCTAACAGTGAGAACAATTAATCAGTGGAATGGCTTACCTCCAGAATTTGTGCTCCATAACTGGAAATTTTCAAAAAGGGACTGGACAACCAATTATCTGAAATAGTATAGACTCTCCTGGTTGAGCAGGGCATTGGGCTAAATGATCTCCAATGTGCCTTCCAATTCTGTTATTCTGTTTCTGTTACCAATCTTGTGTGCCTCTACCCACTTTGTAACTTGATTGTCAATCTGATATTTCTCTCTCCGTATATGGATTAGTATGATTTTTCATAATCCGAACTTTTTCCTAAATCTCAGTATAAGTAAATACTGTGATGTTTTTTTTTTTCCTCCCTGACGTCTAAGGCATAAAATCTTTCCTATTTGTTGACATGGAGCTATTAGCACCTTAGCTGCTTCTTGTCCATGACCTTTAAACAATTAAGGAGGTATTTCATTTGCTCTTGATGCTCTGCCATTTTACAACTGGTTATTGACTATTATCACATTTTTAGTTGAGTCAGTTCACAAGTAAACTGTTTTTCTATAATTATTTCTGTCATTTTATAATCTGTGTTCTAAATTATTTCAGTATTTGTGGGTATACATATTCTATTCAGCAATAGGCTCAGATCATCCCAGACATTTTTTCTGATTATATTCCCACTTTTCTTGTTACATAGGGTTTTCATGATAGCTTGTCTGGAAGTCATTTGGATCATCTCCTTTTTGGACATTTAAAAAAAAACCTATTTCTTTCTGTCTCTTCTCTCTTCACTATTCCTCACATTCTCCTCTGCATAAGCCAAGCATTTCAAATCTGTTTCTCACATGATTAGATAAGCTCTTTCTTTTTAGATTCTCAGGCAAGGTATTCTTTAACAAGGAGAACATTTTCTCATTCAGCCCCTTCAGCATTTTCCACAATTGCCTTGCATATCTCTTATTCCCTAAGTGAACCAAAATTGAATTGCTCACTGCCAGGCAAAGATTTCCAGTTTCTTTTTCATTAGCTCCATCTTAAATTCTTTACTCCTTTACCAGTTCTGCTAGTCCACAGAGTTTGCGAGATGCTGCTGCTTGCCCTTCAAAATTATTTTTATTTAAAGGATCATTGCTCAAATTCAAGAATTTCTCAACTGTTTGAGATTGCTGTTCAATCTCTTTGTTGAATATGGTTTTCATGCAACTTTTAAATGTATGTGGGCAGTCTTTTCATTTTTTAGGTTCATAAATACTTTAAAAAAAAAGATTGGTGCAACTCTGATTGAATATCACAGATATAAATACTAAGCAGAGTGTCTCCATATGTAATAAAAACAAACCACAAATAGTATCAAATATATTTTAAGGTCTAAAAAAAAGAAATTAAGTTTATTAAGAGAATTATATGTGCTAACAGAAATCCTGGAAGAGGTTTATTTTGATTTTGGAACAATCTGCTCACGCTTAATCTGAAGGCAATAAGAAATATAACATTTGTATGATTCTGCAAATGTGTAACTCTGAAGATTTAATTCCTTTTATTTGTTTGCTATTTGCAACACTGAACTTCATGCTCACAACAATAGTAATATACTATAAATACAATTTTAGAATATAATATCTTGCTCCAATTGAGACAGCTATAAATTCCTACAGATATATTAAGTATTTTCTGCGTTCGAGAAAGATCAAATGCGATCAACCTCTGGATCAAAATAACTAAAATAGGCTTCAGGATTTAAGATTCATAAAATTATGCAAAAACATTCATACATACAAATCACTGTTTTGCAAAAATAACATTTATGGTTATTTGCATGATTATTTTACTGGTAAATTAACTATGCATTTTTATAATTTATTATATACTTATTCTCTTTTCCATTCTCTCCCTTGATCTATCTATAACAGTTTTGTGAAAATGTATGCCCCATGTTTGTTTTTTCTGAAGTTTTGCATATCTTTGCTATTGAATGTTAAATCAATCAATTTTATTTCTGTCTTTCTCCGGCACAAAGGATAGGATAAATGATACAGAATGATTCACAAAAGCATGAAATAATTATATCACTTAAAAGCACCCTATCATATTAGATATTAACAGTATAAGGTGTACTTATTACAAAATATCTATGAGAGTAAGATCCATAAACTAAACATCTGGGTCTGATTCATATATAAAAGACATTGAAATAAATAATAAACAAATGTGAAGTTTTTATCATGTATTTCATATACAGCATATCCAACCTGTAAAGTGCCAATGTGAAAGATAAATCATTGCTATAAATCAGTTTTTTCTATTTACAGTATGGTTGGAGGCATATTCTTAAAGAATTTAGAATAGAATAGAATAGAATAGAATAGAATTGGAAGGGACCTTGGAGGTCTTCTAGTCCAGCCCCCTACTTGAGCAGGAGAACTTATACCATCTCAGACAGGTGAATGTCTAGTCTCTTCTTAAAAATCTCCACTGATGGAGCGCCCATGATTTCTGGGAGTAAACTGTTCGACTGGTTGATTGTCCTCACTGTCAGGAAGTTTCTCTTAATTCCAGGTTGCTTCTCTCCTTGATTAGCTTCCAACCATTGTTTCTCGTCCTTCCCTCTGGTGCGTTGGTGAACAACCTGGCCCCCTCTGCCTTGTGGCAGCCTCTCAGATACTGGAACACTACTATCATGTCCCCCCTATTTTTTTTTAGACTAGCCAAACCCAAGTCCTGCAGCTGTTCTTCATATATTTTAGTCTCCAGGCCTTTGATCATCTTAGTTGCTCTTCTCTGAATTTTTTCCAAACTCTCAACATCTTTTTTGTGATATGGTGACCAAAATTGGCTGCAGTATTCCAGGTGTGGTTTTACTAGGGTTTTATAAAGCACTACTAATACTTCATGTGATCTTGATTCTATGCCCCTGTTTATACAATCCATGATTGTATTAGCTTTTTTGGTTGCTGCTGCACACTGCTGGCTCATGGTCAAGTAATCATCCACTAGGCAATCACTTGAACTGATATAATTTGAACTGATATAGACCAGATCTGCCCTACATAACCCTTGCAAACTTTAGTTGTCATCATCACAATGAAGTTCTCACCATACTTATTTTACAGTTGCTTCATGTGCCACTCAAAAACAATTTTTGAAGACCACATTTTATTTAAATCTTGATGATTATTCAGTATGAAAAATATACCAAAACCATTTCTGAAGCTCTGGGTTTCACTTACCTATCATGACAAATTGGAAATACAGAAGATTTGGGACATTAGTGATCTCAAAAATCACTTCAAACATGCAGCCTAACATTGCTCAGGATGCCACACAGAACTACAGAAGAACCTCTAGAGCTACTGTATGTAGTTAGCTAAAGTCAATGTACATAATTTCAAAATCAGAACAGTACTGTGGAAAAATGGGGTAACTTTATTTTTTTTGTTTCTTAACACTTTGGGGTGGGATAGGATGGGATGGGATGGGATGGGAAGGGAAGGAGGGACTAGCCTAGTATTGAGTTCTTGGGTGATTGATTTCAACTTTGCCCAATCTCAGAGTTTGGACAACACTGGAGGGCATTTCAGATAACACTATTATTAATGTGTCAGATAAGTTTCTCAAAGAAAGAATCCTTTTTCTGTTTTAGGAAATGGCTTGAATTCATATCAAATACTGGTAACCATATTACTTTTAATAATCAAAATCAATACCCTTATGATGAATTATTTACACTTTTCTAAAACTCTATCTGTATTTGCTTAGAATTCCCTCTCGTGTCTTTATTCCATGTGCCAGAAATGCACTAATAAGAATTTACCAATCATTCTTCCAGGGGTCATATTTCTAGTCTTCTCATTATAGCTTTGGTACAAAGTGTCCTCCCTTAAATGTTTGTGTGTGCATACATAATGCTAATTTATACTATAGCCTTATTTCAATTTGCTAATAATTTATGAACATTTATTTTGATTTATAGAGTGCTTGAACTTTTCTTAATGGCAATACAGGCATAATTCCACAAATATTGGCTTTTCTCTACGTATTATTCATTTAATAATTCTTAAATACTCCTAGTTATTGCTCCATCCAAAGTGGTCTGTGAATATCTATCTTATAATATTAAAATTAGTAGTATCAAAATTCAGTCAATTCACCAGACAGAGCATTAATAAAAACTATATCGAAGTAATTTCCAAAAGCAGATTAAATAGTTTTAACTTTAATTGCATCTGGAAAATATAGACCAATTTGATTTTAATGACATAATTAAAGGAAATATTCCAACTTCTCCCTTCACAATCAGTTAAACCAAAAGATATTTAAATTCAACTCTATTACACACAAACAATAAAAGGATAGGAACTATTTAATTGATAAGCCAGGAAAAAATAAATGTATGACAGAAATAGTAGTTTAGACAAGTCACATGCATTTTTCAAAAGTTATTTTCAGCTTATCAGGATTTTCTCCCAGATAGGTGTGTGAAGAATTGCATTTTAATTATGTGGAACTAAGTTGAATTCAAATATGCATGGAAGCATCTTCGGCTATCTACTGACATAAGGAACAATTCCCTTAATCCTTTATTAGTTCCCTAATGTTTACCTCTCATATGCAGCCATAAATTTTAAAAGTGGTTTGTTTTTCTGATCCAAATTGAAATATTTGACAAAAAAAAATGACTGAGTGGTTCTTCAGAAGCTGAGCAAATGATGGGATAATAGATCTCTTTAGAAACAAGATGTTAAGGCTTAACTTCAAATCTTGCTCATACAGTATATTTATTGAAAATAATAAAAGAAAAGAGCTCTGGTTCCAATATTGACTTTTACTCAAATTATAATAACACAGTCTAATAGCAGTTATTCACAAGACCCAAGAACAGCAAATATACCGAGTTATGCCCTATGCAAAAACTGGCATTTCTAGCATAGCATTATCAGATATAGAACATAAATTGGTTTTCCATTCAGAAAACCTTTTTTTTTCTATTCAGAAATTACCTATTGTTGGAGTCTTCATGGAGAAAACCATTTAAAACTCACAAGGATATGTTTTAAAGTGCTGAACTGAAATTGCAATGAACCATTTATGTAAATATTAAAGTTCACATTGAGATAAAGTTTATCAAATATTTTGAGTTAGCATTGGGTTAAACAAGTTGCACTTGTTTAATCAAGAATGAAATATGGACTTTTGCTCTTTGATTATTGAACCTTGTAAAGTCAGATCTACTTAATAATGGAGTCAATCTACTGTTTTCCAGAATAGTTGTATTTTGAAAACATCCAAAAATGAACTTATTTGTGTTTAAGAATGATAAACTTGTGATAAGTACAGATGAACAAAGTGGTTTTCTGTGTTGTATAAGAGATGCTAGTTCCATCGTAGTGCATAAGCTTGGCCCAGGAAAAGGTGAAGATCTGTAATATGCATTGCCTTTGGAAACAAAACAGTGGAAATGATAAACTTAGTTTAATGTTCCTGTATATAAATAGAAAAAAAAAACATTTATATGAAGTACAATTGATTTCTCATATCATAGATGCACAAGTCTATATAATGTAGTAGAAAACAATGGAATTTGGGGAAAGAAACATTTCATCCCCACTCAGATCTAATCACTTTGCTTCTCACTATAATTAACTCTCCTTTGATTGAGTTTGCTATGCATTCATCCTGCTCTTATTAGGTCAATCATTTCTGTGTCATAATATATGGATAAAAGGATGGCTCTGTTACTCCACATAGCTTTATCTTCATCAGTTCAAGCCAATATTTGAAAATTACAATGCATCACAACACTACTGAATTGTGTCCACGTTAAATAGTTAAGGCTGGCATAGCTGGCTTTAGAAGAGAGTCAACTGAGTTCATGGAAAATTCATCTATTGATATTTATTAGTCATTATGTTGTCTTGAGGGTCACAGATATCATATTACTAATGCAAGTAATGGAAAACCACAAAATGGACTAGCCATCATATATTGCTTGCTGATTTTCCACAGGCAGCCATTGTGGGAAACTGGAAACTGAATCTCAAAAACTATTGGTCTAATAGAACAGGGATAAATCTATGCTCTTCTTAATTCTAAAATTATTTTTTCCTTACCTGACTTGTAGAGTTATACATTACTTTGTGAGTAGATGGAATTATTGCATCATTCTGAAGTACAACCACACTTGGAGAGGAGTTGAATTGGGCCCCTAAGACTTTTACTTCACCAAATTTTAAGTTATTTGGGTCAAAATATCCTTGATGGGCAATCCTGATATCCAAGACATTCTGAAAGACAGTTTCCCAATGTCATTATTTATAAAATTATTTCATAATTTGCCATTATTTCATAATTTGATTCCACCATGTAATCTATTATTGGGGTAATAGGATGAGAATGGAAATAGCAGCAATGGGAATATTGGCAAAAGGTTGTGACTCTCATGGTTTAATGATACTGGCTTCTAATAATATGTAGATAAAAGCTCATTGTCTTGAGTTGTTGACCAGAATTTATGGATTATTACTGATCTTTGTAAATCTAAATGTAGCTTTGCCTACTTATTATTGTGTTTGGCTTAACATGCCCCACTTTCCCTATGGGAGACCATGCCATTCTGCATTTCTTCTTGTTTTGTATATTATAACTCTGCAAACTAAAGAAAGTTGCTCCAGAGTAAATGAGCATTTTGACTAAAATAAATGTATTATTCACATGTCAGAAAGCTTGGATGAGAAGAGAAATGTCTTCAAGAAAAACAAAGAAAGTCCAGTTGTCTTTGAAAAAAAACCTTTGGGATAACCATGACCTGAGAATGGCTATCTCCATAAGTATAATTCACATGTAGAAGCCCTAATTCATACCAAGTTGGTATAGATTAGGTATTTTTCCCTTCTTCTTTCATTTGCTTCCCATTTTGACCCTCTCACCTATCATTGCCTTTGTGCCTGGGCCCAGCCTGACGGGCCTCTGAGTGGCTCTCAGCTCACCATCAGGCTGCAGTCCAGGCACAAAAGCAATGGCAGGTGGGAGGGATGGGTGGGAAGCCTCTGCCCACTGCTGCCTGCCTGTTGCCAGCTTTTAAAAAAAGCCTGCAGAGCACTGGCTTCCTTGTCTTCTTCCACCCTCCCCTCCATTGCCTCTGTTCCTGGACAACCAGCCTCACACCGAATGGGGAGTTGGCCTGCTCCCCCATGCAAGGCTTCCCCACCTCCACAATGGCAGGAGCCACACCAGTGCCATTTGCCTCCTTGCTGCCCCATGCAAGGCTTTCTCCCCCTTCGCAATGGCAAGAGCCGTGGCAGCGCCATTCACTTCCTTGTTGCCCCACGCAAAACTTTCCCCCCTTCCACAATGTCAGGAACCATACCAGCGCCTCCTTGTTGTCCCATGCCAGGCTTTTCCCCCCTCCCCCTGCAATGGCAGGAGCCCCCAACTTGCAAAGCAGCTGTTGCACTTTTTTTTTAAAAAAAAAACTTGCATCACAGGCTTCCCCCTCCCAAACAGCCCCTGCATTCACCCATCACAGGCTGCCCCTGCAGCACCATGGCATCTGCCAGCCACCCGATTGGCTGGTGGCTATCTGTCCTGCACAGCCAAAGGCCTGGGACACAGGTGCCTTGGCAAAAGGCCAGGTTGAAGGGCGTGGGGTAGAGGGCAAGGGGTCCATTGGCTAGGGAGAATGGCCAGGGGCAGGCCAGCCAAGGAGGAATGCTGGAGATAAATGGGCTGAGGCAGGAGGAGGGAGGCAGTGGAGGCGTGTCCAAGAGTGGGAGTCGAAGGATCCTAGCCCAGGAGCAAGATTGAAAGCAATCTGAGAGAAAAAAAATCCCAGCATTCATTCTCTCTCTCTCTCTCTCTCTCTCTCTCTCTCTGTGTGTGTGTGTGTGTGTGTGTGTGTGTGTGAGAGAGAGAGAGAGAGAGAGAGAGAGAGAGAGAGAGTCAATTAATTTGCATTTAGCACACATACACATTTTGTTTCTTCCTTCATTGTTTCTGTCTTTTTCTCTATGGGTCATACACAGACATGTACAAATGTTATTGGCAAGTAACTGATTCAAAGAAAGCATTTTGGTCATATTGGTTTGGATCTGGAGGATGTATACTGAAGCATAAATGATTTCTCTGTACAGGCAGTCGACTTATGACCACAATTTAGTCCAAAATTTATGTTGCTAAGTGAGACATTTGTTAAGTGAATTTTGCCCCATTTTATGACCTTTCTTGCCACAATTGTTCAGTGAATCACTACAGTTGTTAAATTAGTAACATGGTTGTTAAGTGAATCTGGCTTCCCCATTGACTTTGCTTGTCAGAAGGTCGCAAAAGATGATCACATGACCCTGGGACACTGCAACCGTCATAAATATGAGTCAGTTGCCAAGCTTCTGAATTTTGATCACATAACCATGAGGATGCTGCAACAGTTGTAAGTGTGAAAAACAGTCATAAGTCACTTTTTTCAGCACTGTTGTAACTTTGAATGGTCACTAAATGAACTGTTGTAAGTTGAGGATTACCTGTACTGGTTCATTCAATTGGGAAATAATGCCTAGGAAATGTACATACCTGACTGACATTAAACGTGTGTAAGAGGTAAAGTCCTTTCTCATATGCATCTGTAACAAAATAATAGCAATATATGATTATTGTATTGCCTATGTTTCTGACATGCTGTTTTCCACCATTTCATTCATTTATTCATTCAATATTTAAACTGCCCAATAGCCAAAGTGTTTGGGCAGTTTACAACAAAACTCACTAAAAATTAAAGAATATAATAATAATAAAATAAAGAAACAGATATTCTTTAACCTTGAGATAGTGTCATTGCCACCTGACAAAGCATTCCAAGCACAGGATAAGACGAATCTGTCCTTTGCAAAGTCCAATGAGATGAGACCATCAAAAGAGATATGACTAACGGTGCTTCATTGCTTACACAAACTAGGTAGAAATCCCCATGGGATGGAGCAGTTCAGATCGCTGCATTTTTGCTGGTTTTGAAGAATTTTGCTGGTTTGGGGATTCCTTGACTGGAAAAAGGGGCATAAGATGGCTCTTCTTGAACATGCTTTGATTCCTGTCACATGTTATTTTACTACCCGTGTTTCCCCAAGAATAAAACCGAGTCTTATATTAATTTTTGCTCCAAAAGATGTATTAGAGCTTATTTTCCGGCTAGGGTTTATATTTGGGGAAATATGGTATTAAATGTGTCTGTCTGGCTGATGATCTTAACTGGGGCTTATTTTTGTGGTGGGGCTTATATTGCGAGTGTCCTGAAAAATCACACTAGGGTTTATTTTCCGGTTGGGCCTGATTTTCGGGACAACATAGTATATTATTTCCTTATATTGTCTTGGAATAAAGCCTTAAGTATTCATAATATGTGTTCATTACATTTGAACTGAACACCATATGGCAGAATTGTAATCAGCTAGCATCATCTTTTAGAAAAGACCATGCAGTTAGTAGTGGAATCACTATATGCTATAATGTTTCCATATCTCATTTCAGTCTGTCCTGGAGGATAGCGTGGCCAATATCAAATGCCACTGAAAAGTCCAGGAGAAGCAACAGGAGAAAACCTTTTTGCCATCCCAGACCATCCCACAGGGTGACCAAGGCAATTTATGTTCCAAAGGTCTGAAACCATGTTAAAATGGATCGAAAAAAAATCAATTTTACCAAGGAATTCACTAGGACAATCCATGGGAAATGTTATATGCAGTGTCATCCAGTTATATAAACACAACTGTAGACCAAATAACTTCCTAACAGCAACAAACAGGTAACCAAATAAATAGTTGAGCAAAAGCATGAATTTCTAACGGAAATAGTGGTACATGTTTGTTTTAAGTATAGTTGAACAACAAGTTCATTACTAAAATTGGAAGAAAATTAAATTTTAGGTGGAACAATTTCCATGCATTTGACCCTATAAGAAAGCTAAAAGAAATAGGTAAACCATCAATAGATTAATTTGACTGTTTGTTCGTTTCTAGCATTGCCTTCTAGAGTTCTTAGAAGCCATGCAAAAATGATGCTTTAAATCAAAAAATATTTACTTGTCCTAGGATTAAGGACATATTTTTTTTAAGTTATGCTAAAGGGGCTTTACATTCTTTTCAATAATTTGCATTATACAGTTAAACATCCTAAGAGGGTTACAATTCAGTATATCATCAATGTGTTCTACTGTATATATACAGTAAGCCAATTAAATCTATTGATTAGTCTATCAAAGTTATATTTACCAATTGTTGTTCCATCATCCCAATAAAGAAGTCCTTGAGAAGTTCCATTATCATCCAAAGCAATTGTAAGTCCCATTACATTTTTTCGACTAAAAAAAAAGAAAAAGGAAGAGAAGAGAAGAGAAGAGAAGAGAAGAGAAGAGAAGAGAAGAGAAGAGAAGAGAAGAGAAGAGGAAGGACATAAAAAAAGAAAGTTGATTTAGTTTCATCATTGTTCTAACTTGAGCTAGAGCAGAGGTGTCAAACTGCTGGTCCATGGGCCTGACACGTCATGCGGAAGCCGCACCCACTCTATTGCCGGCAATGGCAAAACTGTCCCAATACATTGCGTGATGTCACATGACAATGCGAGTATGACATGTCTGAGTTAGAGTATGTTGGCCTCCTAAGAATTTGTTGTCTAGCCACTCTTAGAGAAGATATAATATTTATTTATTTATTTATTTATTTATTTATTTATTTATTTATTTATTTATTTATTTATTTATTTATTTATTTATTTATTTATTTATTTAACTGCTCATCTCAACCCAGTGACTCTGGGCAGTGAACAACTCTAAAACAATTACATATTTCATAATATGTATATTTTAATGTCATTTTTATATTTTTAAATGTTTTGTTTGTATACTGGTTGTTTTATATGATTGTTGTACACCACCCAAAGTTGTTTTTTTGTAAGATGGGCAGCTATATAAATTTGATTAATACTTCCAGTACTTCTCAATATAAAATTCATGAGGAAGGTACCAATATTGTGACACATTGGCTCATACCTGGCCTTGGTGTTTAAACCAGGTAGCTGCCATGGGATAATATAGCCACCTCTGACATGAAGATTGATGTGATCAAGAGGAGTTGGCAATTTTCTCTGCTGCCGCCTTGTACCAATGTTTTCATCCTATTTGCAAAGAAGAAAATATTTGTCCATGTTGTTCTCCCCACCTCCCCAAAAGTCACAGACTCCTCCACATTTATTGGAGAACTTGAATAATGTTTTCTTTGGTTGCTTTTACCAACATTTGATTCAAATTACCATCAGTATCTAGCTCAGTGCCCCCCTTTTATTCATCAAAGTCTTCTTATTCTTGAACTCAATTGAAGTTTGAAGCTAGAAGAAAGTATGGAAATTTACTACTATAGAAGTAGTAAAAAAAAAGAAAGAGAGAGATTATTACTTACTGTGTAATAATCATACCAGCGCGCATCTGGAAAGTAAGCTCCCACTTCTGTAGTGTTCTACATTTAAATAGATACATTAATATTAAAAATATGAATGGTTCTTTTTGAAGAAAAAATATGTTCACACATATTGTTTTCCTCTCTCAACTTACTTCATGTAGTGCAGGACTAATGAGCAATGCAGGTCCCCATAGAAACTGCTCATATATACTCCATGTTGCTTTATCATCTGTAAATCTAAAAGTAGTATAATGAATGATTATGTAGAGCAAGGTTGCACTCTGCTTTTTATCTACCAAAACTTTAATCATCTCTTCCTCCTCCATTTTTAAAACTTAATCAGAAGCTTTTGCCCATCTATTTCAAGTTATCCAAAACTATCAATATCTTCTGATTAACATCTTATCGAGAGCAATAAGAGCATTATGCTTCTTTAAAAATCAAATACCTGGATGTGTGCCAAAAATGCTATTTTATATACTTGGTTGGAAAAGATTGTTCTAAATGTTGAAAAATGTAGCTGCTCTTGAGATTAAATTTCCAACCTGTTGAGTTTTTTTAAAGAAGGAAGGGCATATTTTCCTTTTTAAAAAGGATATATTCAGTTGTTATTTTATTGCAAACAAAAACTAAGCTTTGAAAGTTCACACACCATTAATTAATTAAAAGTCACCTCTTGATGACTCTTCATTTCAGAGAGAATTTTCACTTTTCCTATTGAGTGTCACACAATGGTGATGGTATGAATGAAAATAATATTCAAACTTTGGGCTTTTTTTTTATATATTTAAAATAATATAAATTATAAGAATTCACATTCACTGAATAGCATATGTTTAGATATTTAATTGTGTTTAATTATATTCTGTTTCTATTATAACGTAACATAGAAACTGTATAATATTTTTTTCCCCAGAAAAATGCAAGTCCAAGAAGGAACTCATCTCAGCTTCTTCTGTTGAAGGAAAAATAAATGACTTTAGTCAGATAACTTTACACATTACAGTGCTTTGTGCAGTGATAGGAAGGATTGGATACTGAGTATTCCTCTAATTGCTGGAATAACAAACTAGTAAGTGTGTATGTGTGTGTGTGTGTGTTTCCTTCCTTTTTATAAACTAAAAAAGAACCAAAACAATTTCAAAATGACAGAAGGATTCAAGAATATTCAATACTTACTCATGAAGTAAAGGGCGCACAACAGTGCTGCCGTGGGCATGGGCATCATACATTAATGTGTACAGATATGGAAGCAAAGTATATCTGGTATTGAGCACGTTCCTGGATATGTCTTCAAATTCCTTATTAAAGGCTACAGGGTCTTGCTTCTAAAATTTCAAATAAATATAATTGTTAGATTTTCAGAAATTGTCACTTTGCTGCTATATCCACATTTCCTTGCTGTTTCTGACATGCACAGAAAGCATTAGGAAAAATAAATAAATAATATACTTGTATTTTCTAGATGGATGTCAGTCCCACTTAGGTACACCAGACCAAAAAATCAATGCCAAGTTAAAAGTTAAAACTACTTTGATTTAGATTTGGTATAACAGAATCTTGCATGTCTCATTGCACTGTATTTCCTCCACTTTCCTAGACTATTGTGAATTATGGAGATGTCTGTCTCAGCCGCTTACTGGCTGTTGTGGATTTAAAATATGTTTTTAATTTCTTTAAAAACTGAACTATTTCTTTTTGTTCTTCTCAACCCAATGGGATGCTGGAATAAATTATGTAAAGGAGCTCAAGACAATCTCTATTTGCCAATGATCCAGATAACTTTCCAAAATGTGAACAGAAAAATACCAAATTTGGAATAGGGCAGAATCCACAAAAATAAATGTTGACATTGAGTATGTACCATATTTGGCTGAGGGCTAAAAAAAAAAAAAAAAAAGACCTGAAATCCCACCCCCATCCTTAAGAGAGCAGAAGAGAGGCAGTAATAAGTAGTGGCAATTGCCTCACTCTACTTTCTCCACCATCTTTCCTGGCCGTGTGGCCAAGAGTGTAATTTATGTAGCCTATCCTGTGCTTCCTGGACATGCAGACCACCACAGATATATAGACTCATGATAAGGGGAAAGCAAAAACAAACAGAACAGTCTTCACTAACTGCAGAATATATACAGTACATTCTAGAAAATTTACCACTTACAGATGGCAAATTAGTGGGAAAGAATATTTAAATAGAACAAAGTCTATCTCATAAAGAAAAAACTGTGCAACAGATTGAATAGTGGACTAGCAGTAGCACTTCACATTTCTGTCCATCTAAATTCAGCAGCATATATTTAAATTTTGGCAGGCCAGAATTTCTGGTCCTTTATCAATATGCAATAAAACTAGATCTTTCTTCACTAGCCTTATTAAGTATGAAAGTGTTGTTTCCTCCTTAATTTATTTTCCCACTCACTTTGTTAACCTATTTTCTACAATATATTTCTAACCTTGCTGTTCTACACATTAGACGACAGACACCTTTTGGAATACAGCAACCAGCAGAGGCCAAATCAGTTAATTTCCCTGCCTATTTATGAGACTTATCTCTAACTCACTTTCTTTTTTCTTTTTGCCCCTTTTGTTATAAACAACTAAGGGGTTAATGTTTGGAATATAACTTCTTATTTTTGCAGATTTATGTCAGCACTGTGTTCCTAGCAGACCCCAAGGTTTATAGAACCATATAGTTTGAATGAGTCTTTGGCCGTTTAAATCAACTTCTTGCTTAGTGCAGAAGTCCAAATTAAAATATCCCAGATAAATGGCAATCTAACCTCCATCTGAACATATCCAATTAAGCAGTCCATTATAAGAACATGACCTGTTGGATCAGGCCATATATCTTCTTACTTAGCATTTTGTTTCTTATAGTGGCCAATCAGATGGCTCTGGAATCCTCACAGCAGAAAATGGAGACAAATTCTTCTGCAATTGGTATTTGCAGAATATTAAAGTATCAATACTATAGTACTAAGCCATGAATATTAATACTACTTAAATTACATGTATTTGCCAATGATTTGGTAATAATTTTGGAAAATCTCTTGGAAGGAATAAAAGTAATAATATAAAACTTAAGGGATTTTGATGCAGTAGCTGGATTTTAAATCAATAATGAGAAAAGGAAAAATGTTAGCAAAAAAATGAAGATGGAAGAGCAAAAATAACTGATAGAAAAAAGTGATATATGGCACCAGAGAAATTGTCTAGAACAGGGTTCCCACCCCCGGTCCGTGGACTGGTACCTGGCCACAGCATGCCAGCAACCGGGCTGCACTGACAACCAAAGCCCCATCTGTGAGATGCAGGCAGCATACAAAGCCATGCACTCTCTGGTCCATGGAAAATCCTTTCTCCACGGAACTGGTCCCTAGTGCCCAAAAGGTTGGGGACCTCTGGTCTAGAATGTATAAAGCCACTTCAGCTTATGTTGGAAGTGTGAACAACAAGAAGGTATATTTTATCATCTTGGGTTGATGTGTTTCGTTTTTTATCTGGTTAATTTTTATTTAGTAAGGTACTTTTAATTCTACGCGGGAGAAAACCCGATTAACTAAAGACCTACATATATATATATATATATATATATATATATATATATATATATATCATTACACAATAAACTAAAAATAAAAGGTTGTCTCCTAGGTAAATTCATGACTGATAGCACTTAAAAAAGTGAGACCACCAGGAGAATTATGAAACCATAAAAAGGTTTAATAAATATAAAACGCCGAGCTTTCGCCGGGTCCTCCCGGCTTCAT